TTTGTTGCTATCATCGGTGCAGGAAGAGATTCTTCTTCAAACGCTAATAGCAAGTCCCTATTTATGCCATGTGAAGGTTTAATACTATAACAATTAGTACCGTCTAGGATTTTGTTGCATCCACTATTAACATTCGATATGTCCTGGAACGGTTGTCGCTTTGCTACTTTATGTTGTGTGTTACAACCTATTGTCAAAGTTTGTAGCAAATGAGCTATAGTATCAACGTAATAAATTAAAACGTAAATTTATGATCTGTATAGAAAGTTACCAGTTAATATAGATGTTGGTACGGAGGATATTGATTTTGTAAGTCTCCCAAAAATAAAAACCTTGGAATTCTTAGAGCCGAATTTTTGTGTTATGTTCCGCCCACTTAATTGTATATTGCAAGTACCTTTGTTACACATAGATAAATATTTAAGTTAAACACAAATCAGTAATAGACAAATAGATTAAAAAAAAAAAGCTATCTAAAAAAATTATATATGGATATTTGAAAGATTTGTAAATGTACATCGCTATAACATGTAATAGTTTTACCATTTGTTATAGTACTCATTGGTGTAATATTTTGAGTAGAACAACATCCATTTGAAAGTCTTCTAGGGATACTTGAAGTATTTTCGTCTCCACCTGGAGCGTCAGCATTTGTTGATGAGGTTTTTTCTAAATTCTCTGAGATATAGGTAAGTCAATATAAGTAATTAGACCAATATTATACTAAATAAATTTCCAAGTATAATTCTCAATGCAGAGCTAATAACATAAGTATGATGATGAGTTCATGTATCAAGGTCCACCATATGGTGTGCACCCTAAATAGAAAGTATATTGTTATGTAACAATTTGTTTCCCTATCACTACGAAAATTGAATAATTATCAAGATGATTTAGAATAACATAATGTGTGATTATTTTATACAATGTACCGATATCGAGCAATAATTTTAACTTTAGAAGTCTTGAGATGATTAGACAACTTAAAATTTGTATATAGTTATTTTTAATTCGAAATGACTGTGGATTAGTGTATAAAGCAAATGAATATATAATGAGTATGAATATAAAAAAAAACAATATTAGAGCCTTATATTAGTACATTCCGTTATAACACAATTTCTAATATTACTAAGCAAAAATCATATTTATAAAGATGTACGTTTAATTTAAAAGTAATATTAAATAAGACAAAAAATATGGTTCTTTGAATATATTAAAAAATGTATCTAATATACATGGAATCTTAAAATTGTGTATTATCTGTCAAATAATATTTGACCACATAAGTACTCTATGATATCCTATTAATCAATTACACAACAATTAATTCATTACATCATTGTACTAACTAAATTCATAAGTGGTAAAAATAAGGCCCAAGCTAAGTCAAAAACCAATGCTAACCCAATACACTTACAAACACCAGCTCCATTAACCCGACCCAACAAACCGACCCAATACCCGTAATATATGTTCGACCGCCCAGCTTCACTTCTACCCTACCCGACCTTTCGCATTCCTTCCGCCTCTCTCGCCTTCGTCAGAATCTCTCGCCTTCGTCTCTCTCTCTCGCATTCCTCCTTACATCTCTCACTCTGTCCGAAAGCTTGGTAGCAAGCATGTCGTCTACAGTATCTATTTCCTTATTTGCGAGAACTCTTTTGGTTGTAGCTCGATGGAGTACAAACCAAAGATGTAAACACTATACATGAAATCATCTGTTTCTTTCCTTCGATTTTCTGTGTCTTTCGAATTACCAATATGAGGAGGAAATTACCGATTTCCTCATCATATCAGTCGATACAATAGCTTTATCCTATTCTTAGATCTAGGGTTTTGTTTTATCCTAACCCTAACATGTGTCCCAGCTTCGATTATTCGGCTTGGATGAGTCCGAGATGATCGTCCAAAACCCTAAGTCCGGAAACAACATATGAGCTAAGTATATCTAAGATTTTTTTCTAATTTGTCAAGGTTTAGATCTCAGTTTGATGATTTGTAGTGATTTTATTGCATTGCTATAAGACATGCGGATAGTTCCATAATTAATAGCTTACATTATATATCTAGCTGCATTTAGCCTTTGTTTTAGAAATCGCATTTCAAGAATGATTTACCTTGTGTAATTGTTAGATCGAGTGTCCTCATATTTGTACTACAAATTGAACTTATTTGTTTCCTAAATGTGTTTTGCAGGGACAGAAAGTGTGTGGTGCATCATTTGAAGTAGGATACAGTTCACAATACCAGTTGTTGAAAGTAATGGTAGCAAAAGTCAAGTAAGAATTTCATTGTTGTGTACCTTTTTGTTGTAGCCAATGCTTCCTCTTTGTGCCTATGATTGTAGAAGTTATAATTTGCCTCATTGCTGGGAAAAGGTGTGTAATCACCAATATGATAGGCTGTGTTTGATATACATGAATTATTACTTGTATGAATTCTATTTGTCTTATTTCATGTTGAGTAATTATAGTATGACTCTTCAGTTTTTCTTGAAATTGCTATTACTGTGTGCCACTTTATGTACTCATTAAATACATGGATTCCAGATATTGTCATACTTTCATTTTTTGAATGAGATTACTAAATTCTTTGTTCCCAGATTCTGGCAAATGATGACTCACAATTCTGATGCCATTGTTTTGCTTAACAATTCATCCTCTCTAATTAATGTACGTGTGAGGTGTGGCTCATATAATGGATTGATTACATGAAAGTGTGTGGTACTTAATCTGTTACTTAAATAGCTAGATTCCAAAATTTTCTTAAACTCAGAATTTTGTTGAGGAGATTACTGCTTTGTATCAATTTGCTAATATGGCAAATGATGAAATTGAATTTTGATGCCAATTTGTGTTCGTTGTCTCCTAGATTTTTGCAACACATATTAACCCCATATTTTGGCAATAAAATTTAGTTTTTTTCCACAGATTTTGGCCATTGATGTAAAGGTTTTTTACAGAAGAGATTTTTTAAGTTCTTTAAGTCCTATTTGTACATGTTTTCAAATTGAAAAGCATTTGTAGTGTATTAATAGATTATTGCCTTTTGTACCAATGCTTTTCCATAGCACTGTATAGTATATTTTTAGTGTAGGATTAGTCAACTCGACACAATGTAGTCTTTGAAATAATTGATACAGGGTTTCAAGCTCTAAGAGTTCATTTCACATAATAGAGTGCAATGTGTTTCAAATTCAAAGTGTTTCAAATAACTTTAGAAAGTGTTTCAAATAAACATTACATATGCACTGGGCATATAATTTTAGAAACCCCTTCGTTCATTAATTCCCATTACAGTTCAATATTTTAGTAAAAAATAAAAAAGAAAGAAGTTATATACTAAAGTTATTTATAATACACAAACCAATGGTACATGAAAACCCCACATTTTAAACAGTATACAATATAATCAGTCATTGTTTAAAGTTCCAATTAAACAACATTATGAAGGATGACATTATAGATCAATGTGATGCTTTATTTTTAAAATTGTAGGAGGTCCATAAATTATGAAACAGTTTATTTGTTGCTTGTTTAAGTAGCACGCAAGAAAATCTAAGTGTATAATACTATGTATAACTTTCATAAAAAATAAAATAAAAAATTTTAACAATAAAGTATAGAGTTTAGGGTATACTTATACATCTAAGTGTATAATACTATGTATAACAGTTCATATAAAAAGACAACGTTTTTAACACTAAAGTATAGGAAATACTGTTTTTAGTAAACTTTAAACAAAACTATGAGATTTTAGATAAATGTGATGCATTATTCTTAAAACTTTTTTATTTTTTTTCCCTTTAAACAAAAGTATATGCGTACTGTTTTTAGTTCCCTTTAAACAAAATGTTTTTTTTTTTTGTTTCCAATCAAACTGATTGCTACTTAACTTATAAATGTCTAGTGTTTATTTGACATGTGAACTGTTTGTTTATTTTTAAGTAATTGACCTGCCATTACTTACCTTATAAATGTCTAGTGTTTATTTGACATGTGAACTGTTTGTTTATTTTTAAGTAATTGACCTGGCATTAATTAACTTATAAATGTCTAGTGTTTATTTGACATGTGAACTGTTTGTTTATTTTTAAGTAATTGACCTGGCATTAATTAACTTATAAATGTCTAGTGTTTATTTGACATGTGAACTGTTTGTTTATTTTTAAGTAATTGACATGGCATTACTTAACTTATAAATGTCTAGTGTTTATTTGACATGTGAACTGTTTGTTTATTTGTAAGTAATTGACCTGACATTACTTAACTTATAAATGTCTAGTGTTTATTTGATATGTGAACTGTTTGTTTATTTTTAAGTAATTGACCTTGCATTAGTGTTATCCTTGCAAAATATCTATCTATGTGAATATATATAGACATTAGACAGGAAGAAGACACAAATAAGGAAATAGGCATGTAATTGAAACAGAAATAGTACATTATAGCTCTGAAATGAATTAGAACTTCAGTTCAACTGTCTTAGTTGACCTTACTAAAGGGTAAACAACCTGGTCTAAAGACTTAGAATTGACTATACAATGCAAGTCACATTCTAAGCAATATAGTATTTGCTGTTTGTCTTAGTCAGTACAATGAATACTATAGGAAATAAATCAAAGACAATAGTATCCTTAAGTAATATAGTAAATACCAGGATTATGTGGTCTAATGGTATCCGGGTTGGACTTCCATGTGGAAGGTTGTAAGTTCGAGCCTTAGTGGAGGTGTTATTAGCTCTTTGTGTTTCAGTAGGTTGAGAAAGTATATGAACAGATACTACAATGTAATAGAGCTAGTACCATTCAAAAAAAAAAAAAAAAAGTAATATAGTAAATAGTAAATAATTGAGAGAAAATAAAACATACTAAAAACCATAATAAAACATAAAGAATAATCCAGGATAACAACCAAAAGTTTAGTGCAATGCAGAATATAAAAAAAAAAAAAGCTCAGATGGCTTAAAATATTATTCAGAAATGTTTTTCAAACAATTCAGTTCATCTTCTCCTTCTTAATGAGTGCCCCCTTTGTCCTTTTGCTCCCTTTTGAGGATGAAAACTGATCCAGCAATGACCTTTTAGTAGTAGGAGAATCAGGTTTAGCATTAACTTGGGATTCTGATGGCCTTGTGTTAGCAGGACTATTGACCTCTTCTTCTTTAGAGGCTTCCTGCAAAACAATATGTATAAAAAAAATTAGAGAATGCTTAACATATTTCAATAAAAGATAGTGTTTAGATCAACAGAATTCACCTCAGAATGTTGAGATGTGTTCTCATCCTTTTCTATCTGCTGTGACATGAGATCTTTTTCTTGATCTTCAAATAATCTGGCACAATAAGCATCTAACAACTCCTCATCCCTTAGTACCCTCATTACATTGAAAGCTGGATTAGTCCCTTTCATTTGAGCTCTTTTAATACCAACTTTAAAAATCATTTTTAAACCAACCAGCACCTCAATCTCAGTGGGGATGTCAACATCAGCCTGATAAGTAACACAATTAGTAAAAAAAAAAAAAAGAATAAAAATTATAGAAAGTTTATACAATTGTTAGAAAAAACAGAAGTACCTTTTTGTACTTGTCATACAACAGAGTAGCAGGAATGCCAACTAATTCTGCAACCTCCCTATCCCATAGCAGGAAAGTTGCATATGTCGTTTTGTCTAAGACTCTCACCAAAAGCTTATATCTAGTTGTACCTTCCTCAAATGGTTTTTCACACTTTTCACAGCTTAGGACCCCTTGAATTATTTTAAGCTTCCTGTTACATCCAGGTGTCATGCATGCCATGTAGTACCAATCGCCTCTAGAAGACTCTATGGCCATAATTTCAGCAGGAACATAGTAATCCCCATCCTGAAAAAGTAGTTAGAAAAAAGTTGTTCAATATAACAAAATAGATTTGTAAGAAACATGCTTAATATTTAAATAACCACCTGCAGCTTATGTAGATCAAAGATTGTAGACACAATCCTTTCACCCTTTTGGAAACTCTCAATCCCTGTGGACTGGGAGTTTAGAGTCACAATGCTCATACTTTTAATTGGAGTCTCTTGAACTTTTAACCTACAATAAACAAAAAGATTTTTATTCAAAAAATGAGACTAATTTAGACATCATAAATGGCAGGAAGTATATGCATTACATATACTAACTGAGATTTGAAGTCATTGAACTCATCAAAATCAGCATTAACCCAGATCTTAGTTGCATCATATGATGATGTTATTCTGACCTCACCTACAAAAAAACACACATAAAAAAACATATCATTGGTGTCTATTGCATAAATTAGAGGAAATATGTATAAGGTTCAAAGACTCACCACTAACAACCTTTGCCCTACAACATTGAATAACTACAATCACTGGTTCATTTGAACTTGAATTGTAGTATGGCAGTAGAGACTCAACATGAGAATCCCACAAGGTACACATCAAGTAGTTATCACTGTTTTAGGTAGGTAGAAAAGGAAAATAATTAAACATAATAAATAAAAGAAATATACATATACAGGTTAGGCAAAAGACAAAATCTGTTTACAGACCATAAGAATAGTCTTCATATTATTAGAGACCATAAGAATAGTCTTCATATTTTAGAGACAAAATATGTTTAGGCAATAAGTAAAACTTAACTAAAAGACAAATGATTACGCAATCTATAAGGGAGCAAAATTTGAAATTCATTTTAGGGTATGCAGAAAAGGAAACTAAAAAAGTGTAATAAATAAACAAACCCTAAAAATATAGGAAATAGGCAATCTGAAAGTCACTATATATTAATAAGGCAATCTGAAAGGAAATAGGCAATTTTATAGTCAATATATATCAAAGTGGAATAAATAAACAAAATATATAAAACTTACGCATTATCACAGATTTGAAAGTCCATCAATTTTGTGGCTTTACCACCCACAATCTTGTCTACAGGATTATATATCTCCACCACATGACCTATAACATTTGAAACATATTGAAAGAATATAAGCAGTGATTATATGTCTAAGCAGTTGTATTAGTAATAGTACAATTAGGGTTTTACCAATGAGCTCCTTGTCATTCACTTCCTTGGGATCTTTCAAAGACACAAAACTTGTTAGCCGAAGCATAAAAAGTGGAAAGCCTATAGAGTTGATCTGTTTGACTTCTGTTTTATAATTGAACTTCAGCATATACTTATGCTAAGTGACCTTGTACAGGTAATAGTTTGTAACAGCATAGAAGTTCTTTATCTCATAGAGTTGGCCTTCTTTTAACACATCTTTGTATTAGACAACATCTTTATTCTGAATATTAGCATGTATATAATCTCCCTATACCGAACAGAAAATACAGTATGCTTAAAAGATTAGCAGTTAGTGATTGCAAAATTTAGATGGAAACATGCTTCTGTTTTAAAAACCTATTGCTGATTTACACTGAACATGTAAACATGCTTCTGATTGCCAATGAAGTTAATAAAAAAATATAGAAAATAAACATGCTTAACGGGGAAAAAATGAAACTAATCACAGTTTCTGTTTTAAAAATAGGAATGTAATGAAGATGGAAACATGCTTATGTTATACTTACATCTTCTGTTTTAAAATGAAGGTGTAAACATGTCTATACTTTAAGATTTCAAAATAAAAATGCTATAGAAAACTACCTGATCATCATGGAGCAGACACTCCATACTCGATGTTACTACCTACCCTCCTTTCAGGCACATCATAGATCCTTACACAACGCACTCTAATTCCTCTGAGCTTGTGGACATGATGGATATCTTTGACAGCAATGAACAGGGAAGGCATTTTACTAATATTTTGAAGATGGAGAATAGTGATGGACAGAACAGGTTTTATCAAATGGACACCACAATGTGATTGTAGCCTTTTATAGGCAACAATCACATTTTGAATTACACCTCTCGAAGAGTTTTCATGATGATTAAGTCTTGGAACACCAACATGTTATTAAATGCTGGTGTTCATTTAAATATCAGCAGCATGCTTTGTATTGTTTGTAGTATATCAATGTCTATATATATGTCTAAATATATATAGACATTTCAGTAGTGGTGTACTATTAAATTGTGCAAAAACCCTTCGACTACTCATATATTATCTTCATTGGTAAGGTAAAAAGTAGTATTTGATATATTAGTTAGAATCTGTACATTTATAAAGACAGCATTAAATAGCCGGATTTTTTTTACACTTCACAGCAAACGACATCGTATTAAGTGAGCGGTAAAATGCAATAGACAATAACTTAGGGGCAAAACGACGGCGTTTTCATTGGGCGGGATAATTTTTTGAGCAAGAAGTTGTTGCTTTATTATAGAGTTAGATTAGATTAGTATTTGTCTAATTAAAAATTATATATATTACTAAGTGGCTTGTAATCTATTGGTATTTTGTTTGACCCTTTATGTGGGAGGTTTAGTGTTCGAGTCTCAGTGTATACACATATATATTGTGTATATGTGGGTGTCCCCCCTTTTTTTGTAATAAAAAAATATTATATATATTAATTTTGGTAAATGGTAATAATTTAGTTTAATATTACCATATTATGTTACCTTTTTGAATGCTACTACTCTATTACAATGTAGTATCTGTTCGTATACTTTCTCAACCTACTGAAACACATAGAACCATTAACGCCTCCACTGAGGCTCAAACTCACAACCTTTCAAATGGAAGTCCAACCCGGGTACCATTAGACCACATAATCTTAGTCCATATTATGTTACCTTAATTAATATTATATTGTATATTATTTTGGCAAATGGTAAATGTTTGGTAATTGCTTGTTTTTGAAATATTGATGTCTTTTAGTTCCTCCAAATTTTGACATTAAAATTCATAATTAAATTATTATTCAATTATGGGCAAATATTAAGATTTAAATTTGCTATTTGAATTTTAATTTAATATTGAGAGTTATAGTAAATTGCCTGAAGTGTTTGCAATTTTTATGATTCATGAGTTAATATTATATTAATATGCAAAATCCAAGCATGCTTTGTATATTCATAAATTATTTGACTATAATTGTACATTTAGAAAAGCATATTAAGATTGAATATAGCATATTATTAACTCATAGTCTTTACTCTTTATATTCAATTTTATTCTTTTTTGGATCCTTAGGCTAATTTTGGATATTATAGCCTATTAAGACAGCTTGTTTGGTTTCTCATTTAATTTTGAGCATATTTTAGTCCTATTTTCACTTGGGATTTTTAAACCTATTTTGAACAAGCTATTTGGGACCTATCTTGGGTCAATAAAGTATGGATCCCATCATTATTGAGTGATATTTTAATGATAATATTAATGGTAATTAACTTAATGTGGATGGTTAAATGCCTATTGTTATCATATATTGGTATATTATTTGTGATAAAGATAAATTGCTATACTTTATGACTAATTGCCATGATTGGATGATATATTGAGATGTTTGGTGATTGTTGCAATCGTTTGCATTTACACGGTCATTATTATGGTAATTAGTAAGGTCATAAAGTTTTAGTCAAGAACCATTTTTATGCCTTTTATCAGTTTATTAAAGTTGAAAATGTTGGATATTATATTTTTAAACATATATTAATGTTTTTTGAATTTTAATTTTATTTAAGTTTTAAAATTTTCTCGAAAAATGTTTTAATGGTTTGTGGTGTTAGCAATTATTTTTCCATAATAAATCTCCTAATTGTTATAATATTATGTGATTATTATGGTTATTCATTGCAATTTCAGATTTTTGCAACTTTGCCATAATTCAATAATAATATTTTTAATTATGGAGTGTGATTTTAAATCACAATTTTGAAAAATGTATATGTTTATGGAAATTGGATATTGTTTTCCTTTTCAGTCTTGCCATGATGATTTTTATAATGATGTTAAGAATTATATTTTGAGATTCTTAATGAATTTGCTTATCCAAAACATTTATGGTAATAATGATGATATAATGTGACATTTAATAATAATTATTATTATTAATATTAAATATTGTTCGGTTACGATTAAGAAAATTGATTGTTCTGTTATTACCGTTATATAATAATTACAGTAATAAAGATTATCAGTTTTGAACTGAGGAATCAATATGTCGTAACATTGTTATCATTATTGGTTTTGGATTGTGGTGCCCACTTTCATTGAGTATGAATGTTTGATTTTATATTCATATTTTGAGTTTATTTTATGCATATAATTAAATTAAGTGCATAATATTATGGTTTAAATTATGCAATTTAGTTTTGTGAGAATTTAATTTGTAAATGTCAACATATCACATGGTTTTGATATGATTAGAATTTACAATTTTAAGCTATTTCTCATAAAGTTTACTATATGTATTGAATCATTTTTGTATTGGGCCTACAAGTTAAGACTTTTCAATAATTGAAAAGCATATGGTTAATATAAATTATTATTCGAACTTTATAATCCTTTAAGTTTTGGATTTATGTTGTTATTTGAATAATAATTTTATAGCTCATTTTAAATTGTTATTATAGTGTACAATTTATTTAGATATGAGCTTATTAAATTGCATACATAACTATTCACTAGCATAACATTATATTTTCTAGTTATGTGAATTTAATTATACCTTTGGACTTTCAAAAAAAAATTATACCTTTGGAATTGCATAAGTTAGGAATTATAATAATTACTTGTTAGGGAGAACTTTATGTGTGGAATTATATAAGGTAGTGCATTATGTTTAAGCACCTTTAGACCGTTTAGAATGTTCACTTGAGATTAAAAGTCTTTCCATAGGTGAACTATTAAAGATTTGGAAAGATTGCTCGTCAATTATGTCTTTAGTGTGAGAAAACATGAACCGGTTAAATGTTTCTCTCGGGAAGGGACCAATGTGCTACTTGTTCCCTTGAAACATTACTCTGTCTAAGGAGTTGGTTATTTTTAATGAGGCTCTGTCCCAACCAACTTTCCTGGGAGTATATGTAACACCCTGAAATTTTAAACTTTTTGAAGCTTATATAATAAAGGTAAGTTCTCATTTAAATCCCAAAACATAACATAAGAGTACGGGGTGCTATGCCACACCTGAGTTAGAGAACTCAGGTGCACAGGCTTACTAACTAAAATCCTTAATAATGTCAATACATAAGCATGGCACGCAGGCTGAAAGGGAAACTATCTACTATACGCTCCAGATCTCTAGCGCGCTCCAGTGTCTACTCATCTGTGCCTGAAAGCCAAATATATCTGTTCAGCGAGAGATGCTGGTAACCCACTCCAACGCGTTGAAATACATTACATATAGATATATATAGATATAAGAAAAACCATTTTGAAGCATGAAGATATATCCTAAGAGACTCTAGCTTTCGAAACAGGGAATAGACTCGACAGATACGGATAAGCACAGCCAACAGTCATAATCAAGCATATACAATTCACAAGCATAGGGAACAGACTCGACAGATAGAGATAAGCACAGCCAATAGTCATAACCAAGCATATACAGTTTACTAGCATGTGTCCTACGGTCACGCTTCCATAACATTCATAACATCAAACCATCCATATCTCATCACATAAGCACACTTTGATGGCGCCACAGGACCAATCGCATGCCCATACATGAGGGTCAGCGCATATAGCTCTGACACGGCCCCGCAACACCCTGCCCCGTATCGCAACACGGAGGGGTCGATCGCAACCGACCGATGAACCGCAGCTCATCATAATGTTTAATCGCAACCAAACAGTGGACCGCAGCCCAAGAGAAGTCATCTGACCGCAGCCAGGAATATGAACCGCAACTCATGTAAAACATTTGATCGCAACCAAACGGTGGACCGCTGCACAAGAGTGTAAATCTGACCGCAGCCAGCTTCTGAACCGCAGCTTAGGAATAACCAATCCGATCGCAACCGAATTGGGGTATCATGCACACATAACATATAGCAAGCACATGCAGCCCACATTAACACATTGGGAAGGGGGAGAAATCGTGTAACGAAACCTATGCGTGATCCTTCACATGCTAAGAATAATCCTAAGGGGTTCATACTTCTTTCACCTAGGTCAACGGGATACCCATGCAACTAGCATGCAATATATAAGACTCATTTTATCCTACGAACGGTACCCGAAACATCAAACTAGACATAGGCATGATAGACGGAGTCCGT